ACAGGAACAAAAGAAAAAAGGGTAACAGAAACAAACGCAGAGAGAGAAGGAAGAGAAGTAAGTAAAGGGGAAGTTCAAAGGATTGTAGTAAGCAGTTGTGCGCGTGCCCCACCGAAGAACAGGAAGCCGCGAAATGGGAAACCCCCGAGGAGGAAAAAAGAAAAGCAGAGGGGGAGAATACTACCGACGCTTCTCCAGCATCTCATCAACAACCATTTTAGCGCGCTTGCTTTTGCGCTGGCTGCGCGATTCGTTTTTTTTTTCTTCTCTCTTTTTCTGTTTGCTTTCCTTTGCCCCTCCGCGGGGACTTGCCCACCCGACCCTCGCCCCCGTTGCCCGCGCCGCCGGGGAGCAGGAGGACGAGGAGCGGGCTCCCACCCACGCCGTGGGTGGTGCACCGCCGCCCTCGCAAGGCACGCCTCCCGTGCACGGCCCCTCCATGCGGCGGGGGCCAGAAAAGCGCAAGTAGATAAGAACAAAAGCCGGTCGTCACATGCGTGAGAGGGAGGGGGAGGGGAGGGAGAAGCAGAAAAGGGCGGAAACGAGGGGAGGCAGAGCGTGGAAAAAGAGGGAGAAGAAACATTTGAGTGGGCGCGTCAAAACAAAACACAGCACGATGAACAAACTCCCCAACGCCGAGTGTGAGTGCGTGTATGTGAGATGGTTGACAGATGCTCATCAGTTTTTTTTTATTCTGGTGTCGTTCTTTTTCCCTCCCCCATTTTTCGTCTGGGAAAGGAGCAGAGAGGGGGTGGGGGAAAAAAAGTGGAAGCGAATATCAAACACCAACCGCGAGGCCGAGGCGGCGCCTGCGCCCCCCGCCCCCCACAGATGAGATAAAGACGAATAAACAATACATGCAGCCCCGCTCCAGCAGTGCCTCAGCGCCGCCGCCCTTCTGCTACATTATTGCAGAGTGTATTATTCTTTGGGAGTTGTTGTTGTTGTTGTTGTTGTTTGCTGACGGGTTTGGGTTTTTCCCCGCCTTTTCTAAGAAGGCACCGTCTTTGCGTGTTTTGTATAACTTTTTTTCTTTCTTTCTTTCTTGCTTTCCTTTTGATGTGCGTGTGCCTGTGGTGTGTTCTCCCTCCCGCCCCATACGGCCCACACTCTTCTTCTTCTTCTTCCTTCTGTTAGCTGCTGTTTCTTGCCGTTGCCGTTGCCGTTGCGTCGCCTTCCTCCCTCCGCAGCGCACCGCCCCGCCTCTGTCCCGCGTCCTCTGCGCAGTTGTTGTTGGTTTGTTTGTTTGTTTTTCTCTTTGACTGCGTTTTTTTTTTGCTTCGCCCACCTCCGCTGATATTACGTGCACACACGGAGGGTGGCGCGGAAGCGCGAAAAAAAAAGAAAAGAAAACAACAACAACAACACAACTCAGCAGCAGCGGCAGCAGCAAATCGAAGTGAAAATATAAACGTCGTACTCCCTTCCGCGGGTGGTTACGCGGCGGCTGCGCGTGCCCGGCACATTCGTCCCCCGCGCCCCCTCCCCTCCCGGAACTACCGCTCCCCCTGTTCCGCCAGGGAGTTGAAGAAAGCCGCCTCATTGCCGGGGGCGGGCCCTCTGCCGAAGAAGTTCTTCTCCGTCTCAATGTCCGCCTCGTCACTCATCTCAAACGCCGTCTGCTCTAATGGCGCCATCGACGGAAGTGTCTTACTCTCGTACGCCTTCAGCAACGCGTACCGCCTCATCAGGGCCTCCGCGACGGTTAACCCCACCCGCTGCGCCATCGCCGTGTACGCCCCTCGCGAGGCCTCATGGGTGCGGGTGTAGGGCGGCCCCGGCACGAACGAGTGCGCCCCGTACGCCCGCGCGGGCGACATGCCGTCGGAGAGCCGCACAATCATGCAGGAAATGTTGTCTTTGCTGCCACGCCGGATGGCCTCGTCGCACACGCGCGCCGCGGCGACCGCCAGGTCCGCGCTTCTCGGCAGCTGCTCGTAAACAAACTTCACCACCTCCTCGTTTGAGAAGGAGCCCTCGAAGACGCCGTCGCAGGCGAGAATAATGACGTCGCCCGCCTGGCAGGCAAACTTCGTGACGTCCGGCACGGCAATCACCTTTTGCTCCTTGTAGTCCCCATCCTCGTTGCGTTTGAAGGAGCTGTCGCCAAAGGAGCGCGAGACGGCGAGGTCACCGTCAACGCGGTTGCTAATTACGCACCCCGCGCAGGCCTCGATGCGGTCACGCTCACCCGGATTGGTCGGCTTGTGGTCCTCGGTGACGAACAGCATCTTGCCAGCCCGCGTCAGCAGCGTCCGCGAGTCCCCGACGTTGCAGACAATCGTGGTGTAGTCCTGCAGGACGAGGCAAAAGGTGCCGGTGGCGCCGCTGGCGTCGCCGACGTCCCGCATGAAGTCGCTGTCCAGCGCCACGCAGAGTCGCTCCAGGTCCGCCGGGTCGTACTTGCCGTTCAGCGCCTTCACCTTTTCAGGGATATTCCGTGCGATGTACTCGCTGCACCCGCAGCCGTTGTGTCCATCAAACACACCAAAGAGGCTCACGTCGCCGTCTAGCGCCATCACGTGTGCGTCCTCCATGCTTGGGCGATAGCCGTTCACCGACACGCAGGCGGCGCCGAGGCGGTAATTGCCCACTCTATCGGCAATCTTGCTTAAAATCGGCTTCGGCAGCATGTTCCCCATCTTTGCGGCGTTTCTCCTATTGGCTGGTGGGGCGGGAGACCGGCAAGTAAAAGTACCTCTCTCTTGCCCAGGACCCGGCCACACACACACACACGCAGAGAGAGAGGAAAAGAAAAAAAACGGAAGAGTGACGTAGAGGGGGATGGGAGAAACGTCGGTTTGCATGCGTGGGCAAAGGGCACACAGAATTGGAAGAATGCAATAAAAAAACTGGGGAAGGGTGTAAGAAACGCGCACGACGCCTGAGGCCACGAGGGCTCGCTTTGCTCCCTCCCAACACCTACCTCGCTGCGGTCCCGCGGCTAGTGGCGGGCATCAGCTGGGGCCATCGCGCGCCGCCGCTGCAGCTTCCTCGGCGCAAAGCATGGAGAGAAACTCCGCCTCCTCGAGCGGGACGTTGCGGGTGCGCTGCACCATCTCCTCTGCCGACTTCCCCTCGTGGCACTCCTTAAGCCACAGCAGCGCCGCCTCCATTTCGAGCGACAGCAGCCGCTCCTGCTCCCCGTGCAGGGTGGCGATGGCGGCCTGAAACATCACCCGCCAGCCGTCCACGAAAAAGAGGTCCCACAGGCGACAAACAAACTCGGGGGGAAACTGATACGTGTAGAGGGTGAGGAACCACTGCGGGGCGAAGAAAAAGACATCCAGGCCAACCTCCAGAAAGTGGCGGTGCAGCGCCGGCAGGAGACGCTCGATGAGGCGGCGCAGCACCGCCAGGAAGACCTGCAGCCGCGGAAAGCCGGGGAGAAACATCTCCCGCATGCGGAACGCCGGCGCGTAGGAGAGGTGCAGCAGCATCCCAAACGCCTCCTCCTCCGGGGCGTGGAGCAGAAGCAGCGCCACGACGAAGGCCATGCCTTGGCAGTAGCCCACGGCCGGGTCAAGGCGGCTGTACGCGGAGAGCACGCGGCGCAGCTCCACCTGCCCCACCGACCCCGCCCCAACAAAGAGGCAGTGCGTCGGAAAGGTGCGGCTCAAGTCCCGCTCAATCGCCTCCACCGTCTCCGCGTCTGGGGGCGAGCTCGTGAGCCCGACGTACGTCGCATGGTGCGCCCGCATCACACTCTCCGAGCGCTGCAGCGAGCCGGTCAAAAAGCCCCACAAAAAACGACGCAGGCTTTCATGCCGAACGCCACCAAAGCGGTGTATGCGGCGCTGCATTTGACGATATACGCGCCGCTGCGCCTGCGCAAGCGCCGCCTGCTCCGCCACAACGCGGTCCTCGCTGTCAGCCGTTGCGCGGCGGTGCCGCTCCAACTCCAGCGAGAGTCGCATGTAGCAGCAAATGCGGGTAATCCAGAACTCCTCCTCCCGCGCGCGGGCGCTGCGATCGTCGCTCGGCAACGGGCCGCCTGGCGCAGGCGTGGCGGTCTCGCGAAGCAGGTAAAACCCAAGCCGGTCGATTGCCGCGGGCCCACCCTCACGCACCGCCTGAACCTCAAACCGCTCCGGTGGCATTCGCGCGGGGCGCCGGGCTCTTCCTCCCCGCACTCGGCTCCAACAACACGCACCAACGCGACGCACGAAACGACACACACACAAAAAAAAAAGGAAAACGTGGGGGAGTGTAAGTCGCGGAAGAAGCAGAGCAAGAGGACTGGGCACTGCTCCTCCCGCAGAGCCGACTTGCTGCAAGGAGGCGAGCCACACCACTCACGTCTACGGACCGGCTGAGAGGTGGAGCGGGGGCGGGAGAATACGTCGGAGCAAAGAAAACAACAGGAAAAGAAAAAAAGTGACAAGGGAACAAGAAGAATGGCAAACAGAAATGAGCCAAGGCGACGAAACAACGAAAAGGGCTTCGAAGAAGATCTTTGAAGAGGCAGACCAGTGGCACCTGCAGGCAGCGGTGCATAAATTGTCGTGTGCCGTACAAAACGTGTCGGGCAAAGCAACACAAGACGCCAGAGTCGACGTCATTACGAATGCCGCAGTGTCCTCCCGCCCTCCAGTCATCGCTACTCGTGCAGGTCCTACTGCAGTATCCGCTAGGGCTGTGGGCCATTTCTCTCGCCCCACGGTCCGCGTCGGCTATTCTGCTTGTCGCCCAGGAGCAGTGGGCGCAGGACCCCAATCCTCCATCGCCGCCCATGCCGCACGCAGACGCACACAGGCACGCATACACACAGAGTGAGGAAAAAAGAGAAGGTGGAGATGAAACAAAAAGAGGCGCAGTACTCTCCCTTTTTCTCTCAGTGTGAACCTCATTCACAGCTTACTCGTCACATCCTGCGAGCGCTGGCTGCCTGACCGAAACAGCGGGGGGGCATGTACAGCGCGGGGAGGGGGGAAAAAAAAGCAGCTTCGTCAACCGAAAGCGGGGTGGTCCCCGGAAACAGTGCGAGACCTCAAAATTGCGACGGAAAGAAGCGGTAGGAGATCCAAGGAAAAAACGGCAAAAGCCGTCGGGCAGACGGTTAGAATATCAGGCAAAAATCATTGGCTCATAAAGAGCGGTGAACCCCAACCGCCAGTGGCAGGCAGCTGCAATGCTTTGCTCCCATCCTGCTTGGCTCGCTTTTGCTGCTCGGCGTGTCCTCCCCTCTCGCCGCGGCTGCCCGAGGGACCCCGGCGTGCCTCGCAGCGCACACACAGACCTCACTACGCACACCCACTCAGTTGCATGAGTAGATGCGTAGATGGACAGATATATATATATACATATATATATCCGTCTAGATGGATGGATAAACACACGGGTCGGTTATCTCACGCGGTTGTGTTTTCCTTTTCCGCGGCGGTGTTCTCCTCACTCGTCGGCGCCGATGTTGAGGAGGCGGCACACAAGTGCGGCTTCGCAAAACGAATAGGCGACAGCAGGGCAAAATTTGGCTCATCATTGGGCGCATTATCCTCCTCCTCCTCCTCGGCGGCGGCGGCGTCTTCCTCTACGCCCGATGAGGCTGGCGCCTTCTCCGGCTCTGTTTGCATCCCCTTTAGGAAAACGGGCTGGGCCCCCGCCCTACGCTCCCGCTCCCCCTGCGGCTTGTGGACCAGGTAGAGCGCAAAGAACGCGGCGATGACCTCCCGCACGCTGTCGCCGCGCTCGTCATTGTGGCCGCCGCTCACCACGTGGTGCAGGCACGACCCCCTGAAGGCGTTGGACACCGCAATGGAGTGCCTCGGCAACACAAAGTCATCGCTGGAGCCGTGAAATATAAACGCCGGCACCACGCACTCGCGCGCATACTTCAGTGCATCCAAGTCATTGATGTCAAAGGCGGCCCGCTTCGCAATGCGATTGCGAATGCGATCGACAATGCTTTCCACAAGCTTCGTTGGGAATCGCTTCGAGACGTTGCGCTTCACCAAATCCTTTATGAGGAGACGCAGTGTGGAAAAGGGCGAGTCGCAGACCATGCACTTTATCGAGGGATCCTTCGCGGCGTACATGATGGAGGTCACTGCCCCCATGCTACGTCCCCAGAGGCCGATCCCGTCAACAGTCTTTTGGCTGTGAAGAAAATCCACGACCGCCGCCAGGTCCTGCCGCTCGTAGAAGCCAAGCGAAATGAACTCCCCGTCCGACAGCCCGCTCCCCGTCGCGTCGAAGGCAAAGAGCGAAAAATTGTGCTGCAAGAGAAACATGGCCTCCAACGCGTCGAAGCGGGAGCCGCAGTTGCCGTGGAGGTACACCACGCAGGGCTGCCGCCGGGGTTCCTTGGGGTGGAACCACGAGCACTCCACCGCCATCCCGCGCATGTTCGTGAGGGTGTGGTCGCTGCGGGCAAAGAGCTCCGAGTCGCCGCTGATGCGGAAGAGCGAGGGGCCCAGGTCCGTCTCCGGGTCGTACCCCGCCCGCGGGGGGCGGATGATGAGGTCGCAGACGGAGTCAAACACGCCTTTGCCCGAGGCGAGGTAGCGCACGGCGTCCACAGCGGAGATCATTGACGCCGCCGTCGCCCCGTCGGCAGTGCCACTACGGCGGTGGGCAATGGCCCCCGGCAGCCACACACGAAGAAAACAACAGTAACAATAATAACACACAAATAACAACGCCGGCGGTAACAGGCGTGGCAACCGGCGTCCGACTACAACTAGAGGGGGGTGGGGGGAAAAGCAAAAAGGCGAAAAGGGGCGGGGGGGCAACGCGAAGATGCCGCAGCGAGAGTACGAAGCAAAAAAAAAAAACAGATGCAGCGCCACCGTACAGAGGGGCAGAAATTCCACAATCTCAACAGCAGAGAGAAACAGACAAAAAAAAAAGGAGTACAGAAACGGTGTTAATCAAACGACGAACTGTACCCAGCGTGTGCAGAAATTTCTGATGGGTGACACAGCAAGCGCCACCTGCTGCAGTATGGCCTCGCCTAGCGGCGTGGTACACAGGTAGGCGTTTGTGACGCCCGTGAGGCCCCCCCACAATTACTTGCATGGGATAGTGATAGTTGTTATACACCCGGCCATAGGATACGGCGAGTGCCGCAGCAATCAAGAAGGCCCGCATTCCCAAAGTCATCGGCAGCCCGGTCAACGCGGCCCGGCGCATCAGCCATGTAATGAAGAAAAACATAAACTGGGCGTGGTCACTCGGCATCCCGTGGGCACTCGGGGGGGCGCAGCAGAAATCCCCGCTCGCCGGGTGGCGCGGCCTCGGGCTTCGGGTGCACCGCTTCATCATGGCGTTGACGCCCGCATTAAACACGAGCCCCATGAGAAGCCCAAGCGCTGCCCCCTGCTGCCGGAAGGACGGCGCACTCGCAAGCCCCGCAAGAAAGAGCAACACAACGATGGGGAGCAGCGCCAGGAGGGCGAAGAGGAAACTCAACGGGTCGCGCGGGCTGTAGCAGGCGGCGGTGGCCTTCCACACAACCCACCGCTCGCCCATTGCCTAAGCGGGGACGAGGGCGGTGAGGCGCAGGGCAGCCAAGCATATAAATTTAAGAAGAAAGAAAAAAACGAAGAGAAGCACAATATTGCAACCCCCAAGAACAACAACAACAACAAGAGAAATAAGAAAGGCAGGAAGAAAAAGGGAAAAAAAAAGGCACGGGAAACACTACCACGGACGAGGGCCGTTATAAAGAAACAAAAACAAAAACAAAAACAGCTCCCTTCCTCGCGGTTACCTCCCTTCACTCTCCCTCAAGCACGACTGCCTCTGCTGCAGGCGCGCCACGAGGCTAGAGCTGGTCTGCCATGTCAAAAACGTCGTCCTCCTCGCCACGCTCCTTCTCCTCCATCGCTCCCGGCTTGTTGCGATGCCAGTACTTTACCTCGGTGGAGCAGGAGGCAAGAAGGTTACCCAACGGATCCCAGGCAATGGCGTTTACCGGGTTTGCAACATCGCGGAACCGGTCATGGGCGCTTTCCACTGCGGCAGTTTCGTGGATGATGTGCAAAAACCCGCCCTGCCCTTGGCTCACCTCGTACGCATCCACCAGCCAGTACATGAGGTTGCCGTCGGCCCCTGCGCTAACAAACAGGTCCTGCACCTGCGGGTGCCACTCCACGCGTTCTACCGACTTTGAATGAGCCTCGTAGGAGGCAATTTCTTGCACCATGCGGATATCCCAAAGCTTCACGGTGCAGTCCTTCGACGCGGAAAGCAGCGTTGTGCCGTTGGGGTTCCACCGCACACAATTGACCGACTGCGCGTGGCCCTGCAAGGCGGCTATGCTTCCGCGTGACGCGGTCCGTGGATCCCACAGCCGGCAGTCACGATCCTGGCTCCCCGTCAGAATCAGTGAATGGAACGGGTGCCAGTCCACGGTCACCACATCCCCGCCGTGGCCCTCTAACTTCACCTCCTCCCTCGCCTGCTGCGGGTTTGTGCCCACCGCATTCGTGTCCCACACACGCGCAGACCCATCCTGCCCGCAGGTGCAGAACTTGCCCTCCAGCGGCGCCCAGGTGACCTCCCGCACAGCCCGGTGGTGTGAATTGTACACCGCCACAAGAACAAAGTTAGAGAGCCAAAGCTTCACTATGCCCGCGTCATCGCCACTTATGATGAGGTTGCTATGGTTTCCCCACGTTATCGCCCGACACGGCCGATGATCTTCGTGGGCCACCGTCTTCACCTCCAGACCAAAGGAGTGACCGTTAAAGAGAAGAAACTCACCTCGCCCGGTAGAGCACAGCAGGCGGCGACCATTGGGAGCCCATTTCAAATTCATGAGCGGCACACGCGTGTGTCCGGCACGCGAGTCCGGGTGAAAAGACGTGTTTACCCACTGCGTGCAGAGGGCGGTACTTGGATTAAACGGCGTCTGTGCAGCAGGGAGCATATCCTTGGAGTAGTACGGGTGCGGCTCCACTTGGCAACCGTATGGGGTGTTGCGATGCAGCAGACGCGTTGTCACGTGCCGAATGGCGGAGGAATAAAAGTCAACGCAGCGCTGCCCATGTATTTTCCTTCGCGGCACATACTCATCGTACTCCTGTCCCCTGTGCCGAAAGCGGCCTTGATGATGGCCGCCACGGCCGCCTTCCCCAACTTGCTCCATGTTGCACCCGCCACAGTCTTGCCTCTTGTTGCTCTCTCTCTCGCTCCGCTCCACTGGAAAGGCGCCCGAAGACCAAAAGGAAAAGAAAAAAGGAGAAAAACAAAACAAAAAAAACATGCACAGGCATACAGACACATATGCCCTGGTTCGCTTTCCGAGAGGCAGAGTCTCTACAGGTTTTGCTCGAAAAAGACAGTCCCAGACGGCCACACTGCACGACGGCAATAAGAGCAGACGCGCAGCCAAATAATCGCACACGCGGGGTGGGTGATCCCTCAACAAGACGCGAAAATCACCTCACAAGGCGCTCGCCGCAACGAGACCCTTGAGCCGGGAAGCAAATGCACCGCCTCCCCGTCAACCATCATGAGAACCCTTGCGGAGGCGCCGTCCTCCGCTGCATCAGGCACGTCGTTGATGCAGCAGTCCAGCTCAGCCACCCCAGGACACTCACAGACACCGTCCTCATTAATAATTACGCCCTCCGCGGCCTCTCGACTCAGCAAATGCCACAGACGCAGCCTTGACGCCGCCTCCGAGGCATAAGTGACGTCCAATGTGCCGTGCTTAAAGGTTGCAGCTGGTGTGAGGGAGTAGCGGGCATGTTGCAGCGGCATCTGTGCGGCCACGAAGAGCTTCACCGACGGGCCAATCTCCACATGGGATTTTGTCGCCGCCGCCGTCGTCGTCAGAACGGCAGTAAATGGAACCGCCTCGCCCCGCATCGCCGTGTAGAAGGCGCCCAGCTTGTACTTGTTTCGCACGGTGGGCAAGGCCACGTAGTTCTCCCCCACAGCATCCAAGTCGTGGAGGCGCCGAACGCACATCGCGTAGGCGCCGATGGAAACGTAGGACGCCATGTACCGCGTCAGAACCCCGTTGACCCGCACCTCCCAAAGCGGAATCGGCTCCAGCCGCCCCAGCACAAAGGCAGACACGGACCGCTCGGCCGAAAGCACCCCAAGGGAGACCGCGATGGAGTTCTGCAGCCCGCAGGGCACAGGCACAATCGGCATTTTAAGTAGCGGCCCATGGCGGGTGGCTGCCAAAACATTCACGACAGAACTCAACGTCCCGTCTCCACCACAGACAACAATCGCATCTGCCGTGTTTGCGTGCAACTTGACGGCATGCAGAATGTTCTTCTCCGGCACACGCACATCGTGGTGAATGATGCCTGCCTTGTCAAGATATTGCTGAAGCGCGCTAGCAAACACCGAGGGGCCTCCCCTCGCCCCACTGCGTGTGTTAATAACGGCAATGCACTCCTTGAAGCGACTCATATGCTGCCGAGCCACGCAGCGCAGGCGGCCTCCGCAAGAAACAACTGATACACCTCTTCTTCTACTCTATCCGCTTTCAAGCATGCCTTCTGCGGACACCACCGCGGGAGAAGCTACGCCGGCGAGGCGTCATACGTTAGGGATGGCCAAGCACACGTGGAGTGTGCGTGAAATGCAGAGAACCACACGCACACACACACACGCACACGCACATATATATATATATATATATATATATATATATATATGCAACGGAAGAGGAAACATCAAAAACACGCGCACACAAGCAGAGGAAAGGCGGAAGACGGGGAATTCCACGAAGGAAGAAAAATAATAATAATAAAGGGAACGGCCAAGCGAGAATTCTCCAGAAAACGCAAACTATCCCCCCGCTACATGTGGTATTCGCTACGAGTTCCGCTTAGGGGGGGGATCGGTGGCACGCCAAGGCTTCTTCACGTGGGCAGAGAAAATCCCGCCCGTAAACTCCTCACGACTTTTGGCGGGAGCGGTGGTGCAGAACCGACCCAATGTACCTTCGCCGGGTGCGAAGAATACCGGCGCTCACAAGGGCAACGATCACGAAGAACGTGAGAAACACGTGGAGCGGGAGGGGGTCGTGCCGCACTTGCTCTCTATTCCACCGCTCTGAATTGCCGTTGGCCGGTTCCGCCCCATCCGCCTCACGCGGCGGCAACGCGATGGTGCCCCCGCCAACCTGCCGTGCAACCGCGTCAGGGTCCCACTCGTAGCGTTTGCGCAGATACTTCGCCACCTCCTCCTCCTGAAACGCGCCCGACGCATCGCGACAGGGGACGCACAACGCAGGATCCGGAAACTGCCGCTTCGGCACGAACGGGTCGGCCCCCGCCGTCACTGCCGCGAGTCGGGCGTTCACCTCGTTGTGGGCCCGCCACAGCTGCAACACAGGGTCCTTGTCCCGGCTGAAGGTAAATTGCTGAAAGTGCTGGCGGCACTCCACGCAAGAAAAAAAATACTGTACATAACTCTGAATTGTTTCCAACGGATTGATTTCCGCAGTGGCAGCAGCATCGACGTTGACGGTAAGAGAGTGATAGAGGAGCCACATCGCACACGGAAAGCCGCGGTACTTTGGGGAGGAACCGCCACAAGTGCGCCACCGCACCTCACGTGGGTCTCCCTCGTACGGAATACGCGCGGCAATCACTGCCTTCTGCCAGCTCATAACGGAGAAGGCTTCCCCGCCCTCAGCTCTTTTCACCGCCTCGAGCAGTGCTCCTGCCCCAAGTCCAGCGAGGGCGCGTTCGACGAGCCGCAAAAAATTCTGAAGTGCCAGCAGAGGTTTTGGAGAGTCAAGGCCCACGAGCGAGACTTCGTGCCACATTGTGAGGAAAAAGGCGCCCGCGACGTCTGTGGCGTAGAGCTCCCTCGTTTCAACAAATGGGGCTGGTGGGCCCGTCACTCGGTGCACCTGCTTCTTTTTTTCTGCGTACAGCGCGTGGCGCATGCTGGCACAGCGCTCCAACATGGGCCCATCAACCCCACGCAGTTGTTTAATCCCTCGACGCGTCTGCAGCCGCAGCTGGCTCAATCCCTGCCTGCTGCTGTCCATAACGACGTAGCGCCCTTTTGCTGCGTCGCAGGTCTCGTTCGCCGCAGTGGAGCAGTTCGAGGGAAGAAAGAGGAGAAGCATCGGAACGGAGGAAACGGCGTACTCGCGGCACGTTGCCGCCTCAGTGACGCAATTCACAGCGGCGGGTGTGGCCGCCCGCAACGGATCTTCCTCGTGGCATTCCTCCAGCTGCGCTGCGAAAGTGCGGTACGCGGGGGCGATAGCCCTGCAGTGGCCGCAGACGCCGCTGTAGAAGAGCACCACCCACGGGCAGAGCGGGGCACTGCGATGCACTAGCGACCAATTCGTGCCGGCAAGCTCCACCACCGCCGCGTCCTCGGCGAACAGGCTATCCGTCGTCGTCGTCTCCACAAGCTGCCCCTCCGCCACGCCGCTTGCTGCCGCGAGAAGTAGTGCACACCACACCACAAAGCATTTGGGCTCGACTCCTGTTCGAGAAGGCATTGCCGGTGCCATGTTCCTCAAGTATGCAGGCGACTACTCTATTACTGACTGCAGAAGCAAGGAAGGGAAGCAAAAACAGACGAGTCAAGGAAAGTGCAACCCAGCAAAGCAAACGTGCACCACGTCGGCAGCGACGAACACTACAAGCACAGCTTAAATTTAAAAAAACAAAGCCAATCAGTAAAGAGTAGGGGCGCGGGGTGTCAGTGCGCCCTTTGGAGGGGCATCGTTGCAGTGTCTCGCTCACAGGGGCTTCAGATACCACAGGAATTGCACGTCTAGTCATCACAGACCGAAGCAGGAGG